CTGTGTGCTAGTCTTTAATGGCTGGATGAGTGTAACCAGAGAAATGTACATTTTACATACCATTTAGCCACCGGGAGTCGTGCTGCTCTGTTCTGATGGGATGGTGATGCCCCAGAGTTCGGAAAATGGCGAAGTCCCTGCCCATAAAGTCTGCTGCTGTGCCAGAGTACAGTTCTCCATCTGTGGGAGGACATAATTATAAGCAACATTCCTCAATTTTCCAGTCATGGTAAGTCAGAGAAAGCTGTCATATGTTCATATTTCACTAATAGGGATAATGAGGAAATTACAAAACAACAAGCCATATGCAACGTATTGTCATTAAAAATAGAGATTAAACCAAATTTCTCACTGCAGAGCTTAATTGTAACCTCTTGCAAATGAGCTGTATCTGCTGACTGCTGGTGCACTTTGCCAAAATATGTTTGAATTCTTAGGCTGGAACAGTGACAACCAGTGCACCTACCCTGGCAGGCAGGAGTAATCAGCCTCAGAAAACCTACCTAAAAGTGAAATTCCCCTGTTTAGAACAGGAGTTTGGTCTGGAGACCTCCAGAGGTTCCTTCTAACCTCCTAGGTTTAGTTGTTGGAAGATGTTTTGTTGTTGTTATTGTTGCAGTTTTGTTTTGGTTTGTTTTTTACTCTCTTTTTTTTTCCCAAGTGGATCCTTAGAAAACAGGATATTTTACAGGAAAAACAGAACATGCCTTTCTCCTTTGGCCACCTTTGTAACTGTGGTACTGGCAAAGGGCAACAGCTAAGGGAGAGATAAGGGAGAGAATGAACGAGATCATCCCCTGCTACTTTGACCCCCATGCATTTCACAGGGAACAGCTGAACTAAAAATTGACCATAAAAAATGATACTTCAGCCCCTAAATGGCACATACACAGCTCAGCTCATCCCTTCTCAGCCAGCTAGAAGAGCCACAGAGGAGACAGAGACGGGGGGAGAGAGAGAGACTGTCTAAATTGTAAGGAGCAGGTCAAGTTAAATACCTGCCAGCCAGTAGAGAGTGTAATAATAATGAGGGCATTGTGATGAGACCCACAGAAAAGAACCAGAGATCAAAGTACAACACATATCTTTCTGACATTAATTTAGAGCTTGTCCATGAAATCACTCTGAATCAAAAATGCTAAAAATGCATTTTTAGGGCTGTGTTCTACCTCGGTATGTGAAATGAGATAACCTACCCTATACTGTTAAAATGGAATTAAAAAGCATTATTCCTTCCAACTCCTTTTTTCAAGCTACCCATATTACACGGATCCCTTGTGAAAAAGACAAGTTTGAGGATAAAATAACTCTTTCTTTAGGTAAGATAATACACTTTTTCATGGTCATGATGAACTGCACCATATCCTCATTTTAAAACACCCTTTTAGGAAGAAGTTTATAATTTTCATGGCAATTTTAGGTATTTCCATGGTGGGACAACGAGATGTAAGCATGCCTATTGGATATCACTGGCATCTTTTCCCTGAACACTGACACCATGAAATCCCTGACTGAACCTACAGTGGCTCTCAACCATATGGTAGTCATGAAAGCCAGGAAGGGTGAAAACATGATAGCGGAAAGGCGTGGAATTGAATGAATTTACAGCAGAGATTAGAAGCAAATAGACCAGTCATGCCCAGCAGGAGGTGTAATCAGAAGGGAAACAGAACAGCATATCATTAATTAACAATTTACCATTCTTCTATGTAATTTTCAACTTTTTTGGAAAGGGAGACAATCACTTAATTATAGTGATTATTATGTACAGAGTATGCAGCTGAGATTTTAAAGATCATAAAACCTTTTTGCCTGTGAAAAGGGCTTTGATGCTATGCTTAACCTTTCTTTAACCTTATCTTCATTTTCTTGTCTTTCAATCCCTAGTGACTTCTGATAAATCAATAGAAATCAAAGGGGAAAGGAAAAACCAACAAGGCCTATTTTTCTTCTTAGTTATCAACAGATCTAAAGGTCAGTCAGTCAAGAAAAATCTATATTTAATACTATATTGCTAATATTAAACCAAATCCAGTTTGAAAACTAATTAAAATTATATAATTGAAATATTTAGAATTTTAAGGTTTTTTGACACTTCTGTTTCTAACTTGATATATAAACACCACTTGAAATTAGCATATTTTCCAGGCTGGACTCAGCTCAACTCAAGAGGACACTACAAGGCTCTTGTGGCTGATACTTTTTCTTCAGTGGTTACAGGATAAAAGTTTTGCCAATAACTGGCTTCATGTTTCAAATGAGGAAGGGTCTATAGAAAACTGACCTTTCTATCATCCCTACTACAGCCCCTCCAAGTTTCAGTATACTTAGACCAGTGCCTTCAGTTTGAACAGATCTGCTGTAGTCATGCAAAAAGGGGATTTTGACTTCTTCCAGACAGAAATACCAAGAAATACCATTTATTTTTGTTAGGCTTTAGATAATTTTTGCAAAATTCAGGGTGAGCCTCAAGTCATGTCCCAGATGTGCACATCCTTTAAGTTAGTACCATGCAAAAGCTATATGAGGATTTTGCCTCCTGTCTAGATAGAAGTACATTCATCTTTATTTCCCTGTGCATACCTTCTTTTGGACTGAAATTTACTCATGGGTAATCTGGAAAATGATTCTTTAATGTCATAGATAGTCCTCACTGTGTTATTTCTGTGTCAGCAGTTTTAAAAGAAGTTTTACAAACTTCAAGAAGAAAGTGGAAATTAAGAGTTTGAAAACTGACAAACATTTATCAAAAGGAAAAAAAAAAAAAGAAAAAAAATTTGTTACTTTGTATTTCCAGCCCAGAAGGACAAAGGAACGACTGTCCAGAACTAAAGGATGGCCTTCAGTTTTTTGCACAGGTAAAAATATATTTTAGACAAAAAAAGCACCTATTGTAAAGGAGCAGCATGCTGACACACCAATGTAAACAGAAATACATATATTGACTTTTCTAAATAAATAGGCAATAATTAAAGTCCATAGTAATGCTGATTTTTGGAGGGGAGGGAGTATTTTTGTCTGTACTGTACATAAACAGCACAGAACTCTAAATAACTCCCCAAGGTAATCAGATACAAAGACACTGAAAAACAAGAAATATGCATTTATCTGGTAAATTATTTCTCTTCAGCTTTTAAATAAATTGGCACTCTGAAAGACAATAATTTGTAGGGAGTAAAGAACTGTAAACTTTCCTTTTGAAGAAGTAAGGAAGTTGAACAAATGAAGAATACAGTCAAAACCAAGCCCTGAATGTCGCAATTACTCTCAATTCTAGACGGGCTCACAAATGAAATCCATCCATGGTTAAAAGGTTCATTCACTAGTTAAGATTTTCAGAGGTGGTTTGACTTCACTTCTTTTGAAGTCAATAACTAAAACTTACCTGGTGAAAAACAACTGTTGTTTAGATCATATTAATACATATTTGGGAGCATTAAGGCACCTAAACTGGTTTCTAACATTGAAAAATTAAAGATTTGTTCAATTCTAAAAAGAATGGTGAATTGTAAAAAAAAAAAAAAAGAGACAGAGAAGCATAAAAAGCTTTGAGGATTCTGGATAAAGCTTTTGAAAATCCCAGATTGTCATTTCCCTAAATAAACTGATACTGGGACAATGTTGCCTCCTTCTCTGAAGGTTTTTAATTATTTTATTATTTATTTTTTTTTACTATCCCAATAAAATTCCTCTAGTCTAACACATTCAGTGATATTTTCTCCTGCAATTATATTCCTTGGAAACCATGCTGCTCCTCATTTTCCTCCTGCACTGGAATACTCATGAGTGGTGCCCAGGGATTTCTTGGTCTCTACATTTCATGCATTAGCCCACTCGGATGGAGGCTGTTCAGTTTGCAGCACATAGGTGGGAATGGCTGCACAGTGTCTTACATTACAAGGAACCAGTTGTATCATGTTCCCAGCTGGCATTTACTTTAGAGTAGGGTAGCAGTGACCAACTCTAATGAACAACTGTTAATAATGAAAAAATGTTTGCAGGTGAATGGAACAAGGAATGTATACTGGAAAAATATCAGAACAATTTAATGAAGATGAACTGTTTATTTTCGCTTTAGTGTGGGTGTATTTTCTTTCATATATTATTGATTTTTTTAGGAGAGAGGGAAAACTGAAGAAGATCCTTTTTACACTGGTAAGAGTTTGTTTCAGCTGAAATATAGAATAGGCCTCCTGGGTACTAATGGCTATTAAAGACTAGAAGTTAAATTTTGCACATTAACCTTCATATTTTGCCCAAATTGCTACATTTCACTTACCTAAAATTTACTTCCTAGTTATGGTGTCAAAAACATTCTCTTTCTACACTTTGCAAAATATCTGTTTAGTGTTTCTGATGAAGAAGAGAGATAATGCTTCCCTCCTGTATACAACCATCTAAATTATACTTCTCAGCTTTTTTTTTTTTTTTTTTAATTTTCCTGATAGTTACTTTGAATTACTAATTATAGCATTGCATTTTAATGAATGCTGGGGAATTTTTTTACATAGTTGCCCTCTTAAATCTTAGATAAACCATGGTCACTCACAGGACAAATACCCTGTCAGGTGAAGGGCCAGGAGTAGCTGAGTTACAGCTCAGCCCAGGAGAAGAGAATCTGCAGTGTATCCATGGCTTTGGTGTGACACTTCTGTGGTTAAGAGACACTTCTGTGGCCTTCATGCCCACACTCACTGCTTCACTCCCACACTCCCTGCTTTGGAGAGCAGCTGGACCAAACCTCTCCATGCAGTCATTGCTTGGCCAACTCATCCCCTGTTCCTCAACTCTTTTGAGGGGAGGACATTATTTTGCCTTGGGTCATCATTTTACCATAAAGAACAAGGATTTTTTTGCCAAAGAGGAGTTATTTTTAAGCAAAGAATCAGTGGTGAATTTGGCATCCACCCTCTGAAATACATGCTCTGCAATATGCACTCTGCAGAAAAGGGTTGAAGTAAATGCAACATCACAATCAGTAATGCAGTGTGGCTGTGAGGCAACTATAAAGAGGCAGAGAAAGAAGGCTGCTGGTGTTCAGGAGACAGGAATGCTAATTTTTGCTTCACCCTGAGTTTTGTGTAAGTGACTGAAGTATAAATTAGTCACCAGCTTTGAATGCTCAATTTGCATCATTTTCTATTGTATTATTACACCCAGTGGCTCTAACTGAGGCCTGATTCAAAACAAATGATCATGCTCAGTCTATTATTTATTAGAAGGAAATACACATGGAGTCAAAATTATAGAGGCAGGAAGTGGGCTCAAGAAAGCAAAAATCTTTTAAAGACATGAAATCTAAGCCAAGGGAAGTAAGATAATCATATATATGACAGACAGAGTGGAAAAAAAAAGGAATGTGGAAAGCTAGACACTGTTGACTTTGTGCAGTTGCATACCGGGTATACCATGTAATACTGGCCTGTCATCATTCTCTTCTTTATTGTATATTAAAATAAATAGTAAAGCTATTCACTTGAGAGTAGCTCTGCCACAAATTCAAGTTGCTCCAGGCACTAATTTATACACTGGCCTTTTACACACACTTCTTTTTCCCTTTTTGTTTGTACAGGGTACAAGTTGGAGCAAGATGCAGATGTCTTTCCTGTTTTTCCTGTTAAAAAGTGTGTGTCCCCAGGTTAGTTCATCACCTGGGATCATTATGGGCCTCTAAGATCAGGAAATGAGAAACACTTAGGACTAAATTTTTGTTGCTGTCTATTTTGAATAGCTTAATTTTTAAATGCAATGTAAATAGAATAAGGGCAAACGGTAGGCAAGGCCCTAGGCAAACAATACGGACAAAGGCCTGAAAAAAACAATGTATCTCGTTATCTGTCATTTCCTGAAGACTTCTGAGAAGAGAATCTCCAATTTTCTGAAACTATTGTTGGATTTGAAGTTGTAATAAATTACCAGAAAATTACATGGAAGAATCTGTGTCCCCTTATTTAGTCTCACGAAACATCTTTTTGCCTTGGTTGTGAAGTAATAACAACAAACATATCAAATTTAATTAGATAAGTTAAATCAATTAGAAAAATTCAATCAATTGCATTAGTTCAATTAGATTGACACAGTCCAGTTGCTCCATATTTACATATTTCATGAAATGAAGTATTACCAATTCAAAAACACTTAATTTATTTAAATATTTTTCTTCTGGTCAGGAATTTAATTTTATTTACTGTCAGATGGACAGATTCTTCAGCTGAAACATCACCTTAGGGCCCAGACCTGTGTCTGTTCATTGATCTTCAGCTCCCATACAAGGTAAAGCTGGGTGACAGACATTCCTTGGCAGAAAAATTGATGTAAGGAGTTATTGATTCCTGCTCTAACTTAGCTCTCAGTTGTGCTGGTGTGACCACGAGTGTGGCCAGCCTGTGAACCAGGTGATTAAAATGCCTCCACCAAGATGTGAGGAAGAAAAACACTTAGCAGAATCAAGGTCCTGCAAGGATATAAAGCAGCTCTTGTGATACCTGAATCTTGGTATCACAAAAACCAGGACAGTTGGCTCATCTATATTAAAAGTAAACCAGAATTACCTTAACCTGGAAATAAATTGCATAAAACAAATGCCTATCATAAGGTGCTGCAAGGAGGAAAAAAAAGCAGAAAACTGGCAAATTATTTACAGAGAATGCACATCTTGTTGAACTTGTGTCACCTACCTACTAAAAGTGAAGCTGTCAGCAGTTTGGGATCATAAGGGCTTTTCCCCCGCCCATTTTCAAAATGTGACTCTTCCATTCTAAAAATGTTGTCCTGTGAAGCAAAAAAAAAAAAAAAAAAAAAAAAAAAAAAAAAAAAAAAAAAAAAAAGAAAAAAAAAAGAAAAAAAAAGCATCATTATTTGATGAAAGAACACTAAGAAGTAATTTGAACTAAAAAGAGTGCAATATATGTGAGTCATAGTCGGGTTTGTGGCTTCAGGGAAGTCAAATTGCACTGGGTGAGGATCTGGTAAAAACGCCAATCTCCTGATCAATATGTGCTGAATGCTGGTCAAAGGCAAAAATACACATAAACAGCTTCTGTCTCTTCTGTTCCACTGCAAGTATCATTTATTTTCATACATCTGAGTAATAGTAACTGAAGAGCAGGAATTTGAAACTTCTATCTGAGAAAAAGATAAAATCTATTTTTTACTATTATTTTCTGAAATGTGCCACCACTGTATAATATGCTAAATTCTGCTTTTCCTAGCCTGTGTATTAGTGACTTACTATTTTATATACATCCTCAAATTCAATTTCAACTGGCTCAGGAAAGCATTATTTATTATTATTATTATTATTATTATTATTATTATTATTATTATTATTATTATTCAGTACCTTGTGATGAAACTTTTAAAATATGCAGGCAGAGGGCAAATCATAGGGGAATATAAACTAAGATTAAAAAGGGCCTCAGTAAACACCAAGTCAAATGAGGGTAAATAAATCCAAAGTAATGGGCTTTTCAGTGCACTTAATTACTTTAATTTTAACTGGGGGAACAAGTCTGCCAATCAATTTGAATAATATATTTATCTTACGTTTTGCTCTGAGGATAAAACCAGAAGAATAGATGCTTTTTGAATAGAAGTCTTCAGCATCCACAGAGGACTTGTGAAGACCTCAGCAAAACCTGGCATTTCCATTTCCCACCCGCACTGTGGCTAATTTGCAGTGACACCTAATTACATCAAGGAACCCCAAAGAGAAGAGCTCAACCTCCACCTTGGAAGCAGCATCCTCCTTGGCACCCTTGCCTTCCCTATACTGCTCATCCATACTGAAGTCAGGCAATGGTGAGGCTAGTGACCAGGCATACTTCCAAACGGTGTTATTTTAAACCCACTGTGTCCATGATTCTTAAGTCACAGGCTACAGATTTTATTACAGACTTGTTCAATTACATCACACCAGCACATATTTCTATGTACTTATTACATATTTTCAAAAAAAAAAGTGAGGTAGATTTCACATTTCCTTCCATTCACTGAAGAAAAAGATCAAGGGAAAATAAACTGTTAGGAGGATAGTCATCCATGGCTTACTGCACTGTAAGATAAAAAGGTTGGACACTGCTTTGTGAAGCTTGATCCCAGAAGTCAGACTCAATCTCCTAAAGCATGTTCTTGTACGTGTAGCCTGCCTGATTATGTTTATACAGTCATCCTGTGTCTGTGCTATTTGACACAGTACTACCTTTCTCTTTCTGGCTCTTAATAACCCAGACACATTCCTTGCTTCTCTCCAGTCTTCTGACTTTGCTCTTTCTAAGCAGAGATGAATAAATAATCAAACAGAAAAACATTTCTGGAATTCTACTGTAGGATCCATATCTAGATCTTGAATAATAAATAAAAGTAGTAAATTGATGAGAATGCTAAACCTCAACTGCAATAATAGAAGATGGCACTAATGCTACAAGCTATTATTGAAAAATGTTATTATCAATCTACATTTTCTTGGCATTTCTTCTTAGCAGATGACAAGGGCTCAACCAGCACACCAAGGGATATCTGATAAGGCTACAGAGTCAGTGGCATGACAGTTAGCGCAGAATATATTCCCAAAATAATCCCATGTGTCATTGTAAGACAAATAGGAAACAGATGTGGAAAGTGATTTGGTGTAGGAGGATCTGATTTTTGACTGTATTCTTCTGTTTTATGTCACTGCAACTCTACTGATATTGGTGTGTAGAAGACAAGAACAAGTGGAGACCCAGGTCAAGGTAAGTCAGAGGTGATCAATCCTTCTCTTTGTGCTTGTGGAATAAAAATTTGAAGTAAGATGCCTGAAAGGGAAATCCCACAGTGTTTTCGCATTTCAGTTAAAAAGCAATGAAGAGACACGTACCGTAAGTTTCCAAATTTATGGGTGAGTAATAATGACAATAAATACATCTCTGTTAAGTGCCAAATAAATGTATCATGGATTGTCTGAGGCCCCAAGCAGTTCTGATAAACATGCTGTGGAAATTCTAACCTGTCACAAACAGGGCAACTTGCCCAAACAGCTTTTTGGGTGCTGAAATCAAACTACCTCTATCCACAAACCAACAGAACATACAGGCAACAGAGGAATAAACTCTTTTCTACATACCACCCACCATTTTAAAAGCCTAGAAAGCAATATGACTTGTCATAGGTATTTGATCACACAAGTCATTTGTCTACAGCATTTCCACCCAAATTTAATCAGTCTGCCTGGAGATAGCAAAGAACAAGGCTCTGCTCAGAGATTTAGGGGGTCATTGTCTATGTGAGTGTGGCCCTCCTTTGCACAGTACATACAAGAGCTGTCAGATGGAAAGAATGCACATTGTTTTCAGAAAAATTCTGATCAGTTAATAATTTTGCTGCTTCTTGAGTTTTGCAGTTAATTGAATACAAAGAATGGTACTGCAGTGAGTCAGCAAATGCCTGAGCCATAGACAGCAAAACCCCCTCTTTATTAAACAAATGCTCAATGTTGCAAAGTTTTATGAGGGCTATTACAGAATCAAGGGCAGGAATTCATGACAAAGCAAGATTTCCAGGTGGGAGAAAAGTTTCTAGAAATGCAAAAAGAAGAAAGAAAATTCAAAGAAAGGCCTTTGTAACTCAACAATTAGTCCCATTTATTGTCTAAACCCTTTCATTAGTTTCACTGGCAACCCAAAAGGACATTACAATGTACTTCAATTTTTTTTAAAGTTCCTTGTAGCTAAAAACCTTGCTGTAGCATGTTTTATGGGTTATTAAAGACTAAGTTTATATCTCATTGATGCTTCTGTATAATCCATAGTAAAACTACTGAAAATGAGTTTCTTTAGGTCTTGAAATTCCACAAACCCATAAAGACAACAACTGACTGCTGGCTCATGGCATGACACGAATTGTTTCACCTAGTAAATGCCTTTCAGAGTAGGAGATAATGCTTCTGGCTCCTTAAAACATATGTTTTCCTGTAGCAGATAGTGTGATAGATGGTAAGATTTAGACAAAAAGGACTACAGTTCAGTCCTGGAAATGAAAGAAAAAAATTTTGTGATTCCCGATGATCTGCCACTTCCAGGCTCCACAGACCCACTTGCAAACAGCTGAAATTTGACTGAAACAATGTGTCACATCACGACACTGAGTGGTGACAAGACATTGCTATCTGACTAGACATTTCACATCTTGTTATTGAATAGCTCCACTCAGCCAGTGAGCCAAAAAAATGTAATGCTATATATGCATAAACATAACAACTCTATACCTATTTAAACACACATATACATATATTTATACCTAGTATGATAACTTCTTAAACAATTTTTTTGTATGTCTGCCTGGACCTAGCCCATAAAGTACTGTCTCAACATAACAAAGATAAGGAAGGTGAAAAATTAGCTGTTGTTGGTAAATATACATTTTATTTCCCAGTTTAGTACTACTGCCTTGCAGGTGAACATGTGGCCAGTGAGGAAGCAATACCTACCATCCTAAGCCTGGACAGCGCTGACTGCTGAATTTCAGGGGGATTTTTTCCTGAATTTTTTCTGGCAGTTCTCACAGAAATCATCCCAGAACTGCAGAGGCTAATGCAGTGAAACCACTGCTGGTCAATAATGAATAAATACAGTGCAAGCAAATGATCTGAAGAGAGTATGTTGATGGATTGTGTACAGCTACTATGGAGTTACTACTGGTTTAAATTATCAGGCATGGAATGACAGCAGTGAAGCTCCCCAGCCATTCTAGAGCAATGGAATGAACTCATATCCTTACTCTTGTAACCTCCAAACCATAAATAGAAAGGAACACATCTCCAGGGTATCTTTCAGGGACTAACTGATTTCCACAAGAAACTGCTGAACAAAGAATTGAACATGCAATGCACCAAGAGCCTCAGAAACTATCCCAATCTTTGTTTAATGAACAGGTAGAGTTGGCCACAGCTGTGAGAATTTTTGATGTTGCTATTCCCCTCACTATTTACACAGACTCTGTTGTGCTATGATGAAGTATTTTATAAAAAACCCTGATCAACAGAAAAAAACCCCAACAAACTACAAACCCCAAAAGTAACACCCTGATCCAAAACCCCAGAAAAAAGAGCTCCAAAAGATTTCCAGGGTGCTTGGAGTATAAAAATGCATCCATTGTGTACTGGAGAACTTTAAATCATGTGGCAATGTCTCTTAATTTAGTAAGAAGTTGCTGGCATGGAAATATTTTGTTCTCTTTATTATTCAGTACTGGAAAGTACAACAGGCAAAGCTCCACTTCCCACTCAAGGGAAATACTTTGAGACTTGTTAAGGTTTGGATTTACCCCTTCTACACAGAGGCATTAGTTGGGGTGGCTGAATTTGCTGCCCTGCTCACAGCAGAAGGCTACAGGTTCCTCTGAATGAGGAGTCAGAGCAGCTCAGAACTGCAGTTCCCAAGGGCAAGATCTCATCACTGACCACAGAGGAACCTTCATATGAATTTAGGTCTGAGCTAAGAATCTTTCTTAAATGAACACTGCAGAGGCAGCTGATTGGAGACACCTGACTTTGCAACAGAGAAATTTGATGATTTTGCTTTTAGTTTTCTTTTTTTTTTTCTCATTTTTTTTCCTCTTTTCTCCTCTCTTCCAATATGTTCATATCAGTGAATTTTTGATTCGCCTCTTGCCCATACAACTTTCTGTGCACCCATTTTATAACTGCATCAAGGCTATTTCAGAGAGTCTTTTGAGTAAATTTCACTCTGTGAGAATTGATTTATTTATGAATTATGTTACTTTTCAAGAATAATTTTAAGTGAAACAACTGTGCAGGATATGGCTATGTTGTTATTGTTATTATATTTCCTATTTCACACTTAATCTATTGAGTCATGAAAGCTGTAAAATGTGAGGACTTTGGTTTCAGGTTTGGGAATCATGCTGTTACAGAACTTTTAATGAGAAACTTTTATTAAATTTATCCCCATGGAATGCTATATTTTTAAAAAAGTGCAAGTGCAAATAAATATAATGTGAGAAATTATGCAAAAAATACAAATATTAAAACAAATGTAAATGTTGAGGCAAGTGGTAACCATTAGGGAAATAGGTGAAAAGTGACTGGAGCAATAATGCAACTGCCTTAAATCATTAATTATTAGAAGAAAAAAAAAAAAGAAAAAAGAAAAAAGAAAATAGAAAAGAATAAAAAAAAAGAAAAAAATAAACAAAGAAATGAAAAAGAAAAAAGAAATCACACAGTGGCTTCTGACTTTTAGTCTTCAGGCTCCATGTACTATAGGGTTTTACCTGCACACATCTGGAGGACACTGGGCTCTGCAACACCTTTTTTACATTTTGTTTTTCCAACTTGCGGCTTAGTGGAATTGAGTAATGAAAATCAGTTTTTAAATCCTATGGGAAATCACTCTAAGTGACAGATCTTTAGTGAAATGGTGTTCCCAAAGAAAGGACTCCAGCTTCTGTAGGATCTGGAACTGAAACTTCCTGGGGTGGCTGTGCTGTGCCAAAGGGCAAAGAGAAGGAACTTTGTTGAGGAGCATTTACCTGCAAAAATGAGATATGAAGATCTGCCCACCTCTCCGTGCCTCCCTCAGGCAGTTTGCTCATTTTCCTGATCACTCAAAGACCTCTCAAACAGTCTCTGCATTGACCTGTGTCCTCTTTTTCAGGCTCAAGAAATCTTCTTTTCCCTATACTTGTAGATATTTACTGACATTTTGGTGCCTGCAAACCTTAGTTTTGATATCAAGATAAGAGAGCTGTTGTGATGATGAGCAGCTCCATGCTTCATTTCTGTAGATTAATGAAAGAAAAACACTGGCTCTTGGTTCACATTTCTTCTTGTATCCCTCTACATTGCTTCTATTGGAAAGTTCTTCTATCTACTGATCTTCAGAAGATGCCTTAAAATGCAGCAGAGACAATTCTGGAAAGCACAAGTTTTGACAATCTGACTCCTTAGGCTGAATTTGGACAACTCACCCTCTCAATAACTGTCTTTCAGTCAATTATCAAACACACCACATTGCTTTCTTCTGAAATTAAATCTATCAATATTTATTAATTTACCATACACCTTTGCTAAAAGGAAAATTATTTCTATCTATCTATCTATCTATCTATCTATCTATCTATCTATCCCATCCAACCATCCATCCATCCATCTATCTAATTATAATCCAATGAATTTAATTAAATGGAAAACAGCCAACTGGGCTGTTCAGGAACAGCTGGTTTAATCTATTCATTATTCCTAGCTCATGATCAGTAAGTGCTTCTGATTGGGAGAGAAACCAAGTGTCAATGTCAAATGGTGAAGACTTGTTCACACCTGAACATACTAGTCTGCATACTAATATTGGTATTTATATGAATAATAGCCTCTTTCAAATCACTGTGCAACATATGTAAATAAAAGGAGGGCAGGCACAGTCAAGCTGAGCAGCTGTTCAAAAAAGATATGTGTGTTTGTGATATTTCACTAGCTGAATTCACCAGACTTACCTGACTTTCATGCAACAGCTTTCTGGGTTTGGTTTTGTTTTTCCCTGTTGATGTCATTTACCTATTTGCACCAATTTTAAAGATCTGCCTATTTTGGATAATGTGTTCTAATTCTACAGCAAATAAATGAGCAGACATGAGTTTCATTGTCATGTCATTATATTGTTTATTGCTTTAGAAATTCTTGCAAGTATGGAGTGATTAGAAAAAGAAAACAACTCAAAACAAACCAAACATGCAGTTAACATAAATGACATGTTAACCTTGACTGATTAGTAAAGACACCAAAAATGTCATC